TGTCCACATTCATTGAAACGTGAAATTATTATGGATACACTGTATTTTGGCAAAAGAAACTGCCTGGAAATGTCAACCAAACGGCTTCCTTCCAAGAAAGCGTCTACTACCATTTGTTTTAACTCCAGACAAATTGGTTTACCTTTTGGCATATTCAAATCTGTCAAAAAGACGAATAATCTTAATTTTTAACTCAATAAAAATGTTTTCCATCTCACCTGAAACTCAAATCCCTTCTTTTTTGAAAAAATAAAAAAGTTGCTTTACTTTTGTCGCGCTAATAATGTGTATTGTTCAAATAAATTATTGCATACAATTTTGTTTGACGTTTGAAAACAATCGAATTTCGCCTGTAACAGCAGTTAACTACAACCTTTTAAACTGGGCTCATTTTAGCTTCCGTTATCAACAAGTGTATTTTTGATAGTTGAATATTTTATTTTATAATAAGAGTTGCTCTACTTTTGTCCGATAGTGTATATAATAATTAGGTGCTTTTTGGGTGCTTATTAGGGCCTCTGATTAAAAATTAGGTGCTCTTCTAGTTTTTGAGAAAATCAAAAAAAAACTAAGGGTTTGCTAGGTTTATGAAAGCTAGTAGTCCTCCGAGTAGTCCTCTATAGTAAAAAATATTTTTTCAATTTTTTTTTTTTTTTGTATCAGAATTATGTGCTTTTTAGGTGCTCCTAAATAGTCGAAGAAAAAATAGAATTGATTAATTATTAACTGAGTTACAGATTTATTTTTAATTATTAGGGGAATGCTGGCTTTATGTTTACATGTTGGTGTGTCTGAGAAAATCAAAAAAAACTAAGGGATTGCTAGGTTTATGAAAGCTAGTAGTCCCCTATAGTAATAAATATTTTTCCAAAATTTTCTTTTGTACCAGAATTAGGTGCTTTTTAGGTGCTCCTAAATAGTTGAAGAAAAAATAGTATTCATTAATTATCAACTGAGTTACAGATTTTTTTTTAATTATTAGGGGACTGCTGGCTTTACGTTTGCATGTTGGTGTGTCAGAATGGAAAAAAACTCTGGGATCTATATAATAATAAGGTGCTTTTTAGGTGCTAATTAGGGCCTCTAATTGAAAATTAGGTGCTCCTCTGGTTTTTGATAAAATGAAAAAAAACTAAGGGATTGCTAGGTTTATGAAAGCTAGCAGTCCCCTTTAGTAATAAATATTTTTCCAAAATTTTCTTTTGTATCAGAATTAGGTGCTCCTAAATAGTTAAGAAAAAAATAGTATTCATTAATTATTAACTGAGTTACAGATTTTTTTTTAATTATTAGGGGACTGCTGGCTTTACCTTTACATGTTGGTGTGTCAGAAAGGAAAAAAACTTCGGGATCTATATAATAATTAGGTGCATGTTTGATAATGTGATAATCATATTAGGTGCACTAGAATGGTTGCAAGTCAAACAGCATACAGGGTAACTCAAAAAATATTGTATTTGGGATTTGCTATTACTAAAAAAAATCCCCATATGTTGCACACTTAAATAATCACACTTAAGATTCAGATAAAAATGGCAGAAAAGGTATCAACTCGGGTATCAAGGTAAATCTAGATAATTTTACCTTTAATAAAACCCCCGATAGAACCACTAGTTATTATACCGCAAATTGCTAAAATAAAGATAAACAAACTATATATTTGAAATGAGAAAAATAGAAAAAATTGATTTAAATAAAGGTTATTCCATTTGAAAAAAATTACTTTTTTCTACTGACGTTTCATAATAGCAACTTTTCGATTGTCATTTCAGTTTTGAAACGACATGCTTTTAGGCACTGAGTACGTGAAAGTTACTTTTAAGCACTCAGTGCGTAAAAGTGACTTTTGAATGCGTAAAAGTGACTTATGAGTGCGTAAAAGTAATTTTTAAGCACTAGTGCCTAAAAGTGTCATTCATTATTCAGAAATAAAAAACACACTAAACACATATTTGAATTTGGTTTTGTATTTATTATGAATATTGAAAATGGAATTACTGAATTGAACGTTTGGGTTACTCAAAACAGAATTTTGTGTTATTACCTACTTTCTAGGATTTTAATTATTGATGTCGAATTTTGAAAAGAAAATCGCATGAAAAGTGTCAGGTGTCAAGTAAAAGCAGGTAACAAAGATTTTGGGTGTAATCGACTTATTTACATGAAATAAAATTGTGTTTTTTTATTATGAAACGCCAATAGAAAAAATCTTGTATACAATACGTTACGAAACGATGTCTTTTAGTCACTCGACGTATTGTCCAACTCGGCTTTGCCTCGTTGGACAATTTTCACGTCGCGTGCCTAAAAGACGCTCATTTCGTAACTTATTGTATAAATAGCTATTTTCTACTGACGTTTCATAATAGCAACTTTTCGATTGTCATTTCAGTTTTGAAACGACATTCTTTTAGGCACTGAGTGCGTGAAAGTTACTTTTAGGCACTCAGTGCGTAAAAGTGACTTTTGAATGCGTAAAAGTGACTTATGAGTGCGTAAAAGTAATTTTTAAGCACTAGTGCCTAAAAGTGTCATTCATTATTCAGAAATAAAAAACACACTAAACACATATTTGAATTTTGTTTTGTATTTATTATGAATATTGAAAATGGAATTACTGAATTGAACGTTTGGGTTACTCAAAACAGAACTTTGTGTTATTACCTACCTACTTTCTAGGATTTTAATTATTGATGTCGAATTTTGAAAAGAAAATCGCATGAAAAGTGTCAGGTGTCAAGTAAAAGCAGGTAACAAAGATTTTGGGTGTAATCGACTTATTCACATGAAATAAAATTGTGTTTTTTTATTATAAAATGCCAGTAGAAAAAATCTTGTATACAATACGTTACGAAACGATGTCTTTTAGTCACTCGACGTGTTGTCCAACTCGGCTTTGCCTCGTTGGACAATTTTCACGTCGCGTGCCTAAAAGACGCTCATTTCGTAACTTATTGTATAAATAGCTATTTTGGTCACAGCGCTGTAATGAAAAATCTAATTAAATTTCAAAAAACGTTCCTAGAAACAAAATATACCAAATGGCTATCTTGATTTTTTTTTTAAATAATTTTTTTTGCGAAAAGGAAGGGGTGTTCACTTTATACTGGATCGCCCGAGGGATCACCCTGCACTTGCAGGTTCCAATAAATTGTCTCAAACAAATGTAGGAGGAATGAAAATTGAACTGAAAGTCTTCTGAAGCTTATCAAAGGACTAGGTTTATTCTTAAGTGCTCTAGAGCCTCTCAAAATGCTTAAAAATTTCCCAAATTGGCACAAGCGCATTCTGAAGCTTTTCGTAATGCTTTCTAAAGTTTACAATTGGTTGCTAGCTTAATGCTCTTGAACCGCCTGAATGTTCTAGTCTAGATCTAGAGGTTTGTTTGTTTGTGTTGCACTAACGAAGTGAGTGCAAGATATTTCAGGTTTGTGGGGTCACTAGTTCAACTTATAACTGCTTAGAACAATAAATAATTTTGACATGAACGGAGTTTGTTATGTGATTTATAAATTTGTGAGGTTGGCTGGTTTATACAACATTTGCATAGTCGTAATCATAATCATAGTCTTAGTCATAAGAGTTAAAATAATATTTTCTTATGGAACCGTTTATACACAAATCATAATCATAAGCATAAGCATAAGCATAACTCAAAGTTAGCAACTTTTAACTTTTATGATTGTGACTAAGACGAGATCCAAACTGCGCAAGCGCCATTATCAGCTGTTACAGAGAAAAACAATTCAAATCTGCTATTTTAGTTCTGTTTGTATTTAAATTGATCTTGAGTCATTCTAGAGTATTTAAAAAAAAGGGTCTCCATCAAGTTTCTACATGTCTTTGAATAATGTGGCAAAATGCCGCTCCTTCTGTCTTTTTTTATTGATGGGACTCACTTTCCACCTTCTTTGTTTATGGTTTGCGTTTGTTGAAGTTGTTTATTAGCAAAACTCAAAAATGAATAGGACAGACCTATCACTTGTATGGTTTTCTTTCGCAGTATTTTAATTTCCACACTTTTTGAAACTTTGAAAAAGTATTAAAAGTAAATAGACGAGTTCGATTCGCAAAAAGTAAACAAATTCTCCCTACAAAAAGTAGCTTATGACATTGTATAAACGCCTTCTAAAATTGTGATTATGATTAAGACTAAGACTAAGACTATGATTATGATTACGACTATGCAAATGTGGTATAAACCAGCCATAAAGATTAATATTTATTTATATTCCGTTCCGATTATTTACTCTTTTATAATGGATTTCTTCCTGGATTTATTTTTGATTTGTGGGCGGCACTAAGGGGCGGCAGACTTGGACAATTATAGATGATGTCGAAATCGAATTTGTTTTGTCGAGTGATGAGGATAGTGGAGAGGATTGTGACGCTGCAGCGTTCAGAAGTGTTTTAGAGTGTTCTATAATATGCTCATGGAAGTTATAAGTTAGTTATTATAGTGTCATATTATGATTTTCAAGACATTCTGGAAGTTTCCAAAACTTTCATATGATTTGTAAAGTGTACTAGATTGTCCCAAAAGCTCTCTAAAATGTTGCCAAAAGTTCAGAAATGTTATGGTCCTTTCTAAAATGTTTCTGAAATTCTAAATTGGTTCTAAAGTGTTTTCTTACAATGTTTTTAAAGATTCCAATTTGTCGCAGACAAATGCATGAGGATTGAAAATTAAATTGGATTTTGAAGCGTTGGAATCGAGGTTGGAATGTTAAGCCATCAAACCTAGTTGGGGATTTTTTTTTTATTTATCAGGCAGGGCTACCATAATCTTTCCTTCCCAGGATTTTCATAGCCACCCGAGTAGCCTCCTATTGTAAATAAAATGAATGGTATCTCGAATAGGATATTATTAGGAACAAAAGTGAATCTTTAATAAGTATTTCTGTAACTTTGGGAATAAGTTCCTAATTTTGCCCAAATTCAAGTGGGACATGGAGAAATGACGATAAAAGTTTGAGGTTTTATAATCTAAATTTACTCACCGTAAAACAGCAATCCAATACGGCGTTATCATGAGCATATTTGTGTCGTAAACTATTCGAACTCACATCGTACAGCCTCACGTAACTGTCCCAAGAAGAAACCAGCAAAAACTGATTGGTATTGGGGCCAAATTTTACACTGGAAATCGAGTCGTCCGGTGGCGATTTTAGTTTGTATTCGGATTGCGATTTCATCATTAAGCGATATTCAATAGTATAATTTTATTAGTTTTGCGATCGGGTACCGCTGTTTGGTTTAATTATTTCAAATTTATAAACAATAAAAACAATGGAAAACATGCCTTCACCATTACGGTGTCATGTGTCAATAAGTTGTCAAATCACATGAAAACTAGGCGCTTTCTTTTAACCTAGTGCAAGCTGTGCTGGTCCAATATTTTTCAAGCATTAACCGATAAGGCACTTTGCTTTTTTCTTAATTAATCTGGCTTAATTTCCTCTACAAACAGCTATATAATGTAATTAGCTATGAAACTTTAATGTGGTTATAATTTGGTTAAAACTCAGTTTGCAACCGGTGAACGCAAACCAAAATATATTTCCTTGCATAAGTTTTTTTTTTGCGCAGTTGCAGTGTGAACATAACCTTCAAACGAACCAACTAAACTATTTTTGGAAATTGCAATGGGTGCATTTTTTATTCTTTAATTTCCTAGTTAAAAATACCCATTCAAATATTGAAATTGAACTATTTCCTATAGTGATGTCTCCTTCATTTCAGCTATTTGAGTATCGCGATATTGTCCAGCATCTTTCCATGGGAAGGAAATGAAGTAGAAATTTTCCTGGAAAGAAAAAGAAGCTGTTGCCGAAGGTATGAATGAGAATTTATTTCAAATTTTTCGATTACCGGTTTTTCAGGAAGTAGAATATTGTCTTTTGTTTTTTTTGACGGTTTTAAAGCACACTGACCAGTTCAGTATTTCAACATAATAGCCCATACTTAAATAATTCACCTGAATACTTTGTAGATACTCAAGTTCCAATCTGGCTTTCATTTTATATTATTTTAAAGACATGAGAAGATGTTTAACTTCATTAAAAAAAACTGAGTGTAAAATAGGTAAGCAAACACCTGCACATGGCAAGAAATATTTATTAGGAAAAAAATTGTAATAGTTATTTACCTAACAAATGCGGAAAGTAATACCTACTTTACCGCACGCAACGGCAGTTAAGGGCGGTAAAGGCACTTTTCGCATGTGTTAGGTACAAAATTTTACCTATGAGCATCTACATCTCTAAAAAAAGGCATTGATAAAATTAAATATTGAATCAGATTAATTAATGAAATTAGATTAGATGTAGAAATGATCAAAAATCCATTTTCTGAAAGAGAGGATTTCTGATTAAAAATATTAAAGGACCCCGCACATTTCTTATGGAAAAGTGATCTATGTGGAATTTTGCTGAATTTTTGATATTGTGTATAGGGAGTCGTCGTTAACAAAAGTGATCATTGCGCTAATGTTCAATACCCAACAGTTTTCAAGATATCAATTAAAAACTTTTTTAATATGATACTCTTCAGTAACTGACACTTTGTAGTCCACTTTACCGCATACTATGCGGTAAAGTGATACTTTCCATTTGCAAATACGTGCGGTAAAGTGCACTTTACCGCACGCTAGTAGGTAATAACTATTTACCTAACAAGTGCGGAAAATGAATTTTTCCGCACGCGGCTGTCGTTCACCAAACGACGCGTAGCGGAGTTCGGTGATGCAGCCGAGTGCGGAAAAATATTTTCCGCAAGTGTTAGGTACAATATTTTTCCTAAAGGCGAAAAAATGCAAAATTTTGCTTCTTTTTTTTTGACATATCAGTGCGGTAAAATTTTTTCCGCACTGACAGCCGTGCGGAAAAACTTTTTCCGCACTGATATGTCAAAAAAAAAAGTTTTACCGCACCGTGCGGGAAAACTCATTTTCCGCACGCATATCAGTGCGGAAAATCGATTTTTCCGCACGGCTGTAGGAAATAGCTATTTACCTAACAAGTGCGGAAAAATATTTTCCGCAAGTGTTAGGTACAATATTTTTCCTACAGGCGTAAAAAAATTTTTTTTTTTTTTTGACATATCAGTGCGGTAAAATTTTTTCCGCACTGACAGCCGTGCGGAAAATCGATTTTTCCGCACGGCTGTAGGAAATAGTTATTTTCCTAACAAGTGCGCAAAGTGTTACTTTTCCGCACGCAAACACAGTTATACGAACGACGCGAAGCGGAGTTCGGATAAGTGTTTGCGTGCGGAAAAGACACTTTGCGCGCGTGTTAGGAACAAAATTTTTCCTACGAGCTTCATATCAGGTAGGTAACAACAAAAATTAAAAAAAAAAAAAACGATAATTTGTTCAATTATTTTCAATTAACTTGAAGCGAACCTATTCATTCATCAAAAAATTACATAACAAAAAAAAAAAGAACAAAAAGTTGAAATCCTCGTCAGAGCTGTTCACTTTAAAGCGTTTAAATTTGATACGGAAGAAGTTTGTAGATTCTTGCATGTAAATGGAGAACACAAATCTGACAATGTGTCAAATTATATTCAGTGTTTGTATAGATGTTGGCTGATATGGAAACAGAGGAAAAATTTGTCATCATTTGTCAAAGTCAACAGGTGCACTTATTGTTGCTTGACAATTATTTTTACTTTTCGGCACTCAGTGCGGATAAGGCCTGTATCCGCACTGAGTGCGGAAAAGTGTAACTTTGAGAACTGAAATGCGTGCGGAAAAGTACTACTTTGCGCACGCTCGTAGGAAAAAAATGTTTTCAAATTTTATAATCGTACTTACCTAAAACCTTACAGGTAGGTTACTTGTACATTATTGATATCCGAAATTTATTTTTATTATACATTACATTAATACCTACATAAATATGATAATTATTCATTATTTTTGTATAGTTATGAATGAACCCCTTTAGGGACTGGATGCTCGTCCGATAATTGGAATAAAAGTTTTTTTTTTTGTTTCTATTCCGATTATCGGGTTACTAGTTTATTTTGTTATTTTTCCGCAAAATGTTCACTTATTATTTTCGGACTAATAGCATTTACTCATATTGTTCTGAGAATTTTTATATTTTTAGAAAAAAGTAGTTTGCGCAGTATTTGGGAGATGTATCATGAAATTAAAATTATGGAAGCCTCAGACAATCCTCCAGTTTCATGTATTGGTTGTTTTGTTTTTGAGATATAAATAGGTTATAATCGAGCAGAAGCCTTTGATAAATTAATTTTTTTAAGTTTTCATATTTTCCTAAATGTATTCCTATTAATTTTCATTAGGTATTTTGCGAGGTATTTTGCTAAAAGGTGTTAATAGTGTATTACACGGGTTGAGAAGTAGGCCATTTTATATTATTTTATAAACATACGCCAATCGCCGAGGGATATGATAACACTGTTTCTACTACCCAGTAGAATTTTATCATATATCTTTGGACCTTTGAAAACAATGTTTTTTGATTATTGTTTGCCAACCAGGCGCCTTTTTTGACAGGTTGTTGGATTGCCTAATTAGAGACCAAAAATTCCATTGTAGCACAATGTTGAGAAACGACCCCTATAGCTAAGGGCGGCAAGGGCGCGGAAGAGGAAAGTTTCGGACTCCGGTGTTTTAACACTAAGGACACCCCTCTTGAACAATCTTGAAAAAATCAGCTTGCCCCTAATTTTTTTTCACACCTTCCGAAAATAAAATTATCTTTGACTGATATTATGATTCATGAAGTAGGGATTGTTTTTACTGTATAATTATGTATAGGTACTGACCTTGCTTTTCGCATGCCTTTGCTAAGTGATTTAAATCTTTTACCACCTTGATGGCAAGTATATTCTAATAGGTAGTATACCAATTCTGCCTTAGCCTGTTGGCATTTTTTGGGATAACTTTTTGCAATTGTTTGCAATTTTCTAGTATCTCTTTTATAAGGGATATTACTGATATTAGTAACTCCTTTTCAACTGTATGTAAGATTCTACTTCATTATAAGAATTGAATTTTTCCCTTGTTCTAACAGGTTTTTTGAATCCATAGTGTTGTTTGTAATAATTTTTATTCTCTCTAATACTTGCACCAATAGTTACAAATCAACTAATAGGTATAACCATATAACATGATATAAGGGAACTTAACCTATTTCAAACCATAAATAAAATTCGGAATAATATGAGCAAATCCTAATAGTCCCAAAATAATATCTTAAGTGATAGGTAAATTCTTAAATTATTTTGCAGAATAATAACAAAAGAAACTAGTAGCCCGATCATCGGAATAGAAACAAAAATACTATCATTCTGATTATCGGACGAGTATCCAGTCCCATCTCTTTATTGAACGCCTAAATCTCTACCAGTACCATATAGGTACCTTGTTTAGTATAAAATCTTGTTTCTGACTATTCTAGAGTTGAATTTGAGTCAGAGCAGCATGAAATGCTAATTTTTATGCAACTTACTGCTTAAATTCAGAATTTTATTAAGTACTGGCCTCGGTACTGGCTCTACTAAAGCTGGAATGGAATTTATGAAGTAAACTTCTGATGATTCTAGAGAGGTTCAAAAGGCGACTGTTAATCATGATACCTACCAAAGTCTATGATACAGCCAAAATTCATGAAATACCAGGGTTGGCAAAAACCTGGGTTTTTCAGTTTTTTCGGGTGATTGTGATAGTTTTCGTGTTTTTGTAGGATTTTTGTGTTAGACAAAATTAATTGTGTATTTGTTTCAGCAGTTTTATACTCGGTTTTATACCTGATAAGCTTCAAGATTGAATTTATCAAACATTGAAAATTTTCCAAAAATGACACTGAAACAGTTTTTTTTTTGCCTCACAACTCCTTTAATTTTCATCCAATTTCAATGCAGTTGAGCTCTGATTGAAGCCAATTAAATTCTCTACAAAGAAACCAATTTATTTCCTATGTAAAATTCCAAATTCCGTTAAGTGAATCTTTTTGTAAGTATTTATGAAGGAATAATGAACTAGCTGAGGAACTTTTGGAGAACATAAGTGAAATAGAAACTGCCCAAAAGACTGATGAATCTATGCCTGATTTAACTCAACTACTCAAAAATTTTACTAGCTCAAACTAAGCTGAATAGATTCCTGGAAGGCCTGAGTCAACAAGGTACGTTTCCTGCCACTTCTGCCGAAGCAATCAAGATATACAGGGTATCCCACGGTGGATGGCGTATTAGACGTTTATGGAGAACTAAAAAGCGGATCATTTTGAAAATTTGGCAACCGGGATAAACGACCATAATCTACACTTTAAAAATATTTTTGTTTATGCGGTGTTGCCGCTTCTACCCTAAACCAGTGGCAACAGCGCTATTTTAAATGGAATACCCTGTATCTGATTACATATTTGGATTTTACGTAAAATTCTGAGCAGATTTCATGTGATATACCCTATACCTAAGTTCAACTGTTTTGGAATTATTGACAGTTGAAAATTGACTTTTTGCAACTTTGACAGGCTGTAAAACCTGAACGGTTAATTTTAGAGAAAAACCGATTTCACATTCCTATCTTAGATTTTTATAAACTATAATTTGATACCAACTTCAAATTTAATCCATGATTAAAAATTCCAATTAAATTTAATCTCCGGGTAAATTCAAAGTTGGTGTCAAATAATAGTTCATGAAACTGTAAGATAGGAATGTGAAATTGGTTTTTCTCTTAAATTAACCGTTCAGGTTTTACAGCCTGTCAAAGTTGCAAAAAGTCAATTTTCAACTGTCAATAATTCCAAAACAGTTGATCTTAGGTATAGGGTATATCACATGAAATCTGCTCAGAATTTTACGTAGAATCAAAATATGTAATCACATACAGGGTATTCCATTTAAAATAGCGTTGTTGCCACTGGTTTAGAGTAGAAGCGGCAACACCGCATAAACAAAAATATTTTCAAAGTGTAGATCATGGCTGTTTACCCCGGTTGCCAAATTTTCAAAATGATCCGCTTTTTAGTTCTCCATAAACGTCTAATACGCCATCCACCGTGGGACACCCTGTATGTATATTCAAACTGGAGTACAAGCAGTATATGCCTATCTAATACTGGCTCAACCGTTACATGCTAGGACATCAACATAATGTCCGTTCTGATTCAGAACTGATAATTCATTGATCACTGAGCAGGTTACTTTGCGATAGGAATGGATGAAGGAGGAAGCTAAGAAATTTGGTATCACAATTATGGGATTTTCCCTAGGATTTTCCTCAGACGGATAATCGCTTTCTAAGAGATATGCATTTAAATAATGATTTGATGTCTGGTTTAGCTCCTAAATAAAAAGAAAAAAACCAAAACAATCCCAGAAGATACAGAACTTCTTTGCCAGTGAAGAATGATGTACAAGACACCACACATATTCGAACAAATATGTGTTCCTACTCGTTTCCTAAAACCTGACCGGTCTCAATGCTAAAGAGGGCGATTAGAGATATAGGCAGGTACCTTCAATAAACCGAACACAAAATATTGAATATACACAGGAAAATATAGAGATCGAGGAAGGCGACGTTGAAGTTGACGAAAACCTTGAAGAAAATGAAAATGACCAAGATATGGCAAACACAAATGATGTCAGTTATGAGGTCGATATAGTCATGGACTTGATTTCAAAAAAAAAATTGTTGGAAATTTCTCATGTAGATCGCGAATGTGATACTTTGGAAACAAGTTGTATAAACTTCAACGTTGTTGGTAAAAATTCTTCAATCATGAAAAAGTCATTGTTCTGCTGGCTTTTAGATCAGTCTAATGGAAGTACTGAACGATTAAAAAGATTCATAGGCAGTACAAAAAAAATGCGTCAGAAAACATTGGAGCAATCACCTTCCAAAAATTCCGACCTTGACTATGAAAAGGACTAAACCACCGACTAAACAGAAGCTACCCATGTATTTTTTTTTCCGCCAGCTTTTTGACATTTTCACAGACTTCTTTATTTTAACGTAATAGTGCAAACATCTAGATAATCTAGATTTATTCTACACCATTTTGTGACCAAATTTTTGTGATAGATTTGGTAGGGAATTAGCAGGGAATTAGAAATATCAGGGAAATTAGAAGGGAATTAGGCTAATTAGAGGAATTAGCTACCATCATGGGAATTAGTATACACATTTTTCTCAGCGGTTTACCCCTCGCTTATTATGCATCAGATATGTACCTATTGGTATTACTATGTAGATATATAACTTTTCAATCGATCCACACTTTTAAAATCGACGTTATAACGACTAACCTCTGCTGCTTGGGATTGTTGGAATAGGAAAAAGACCTGCTCCAGGATATTAAATGTTTGAATGGATTTGGATCAGACGATTTTTTCGCAGATCTGTTTTTGTATTTAAAAAATCGACAGAACGAGTCCAAATTAGTCAGAAACAACTCTAACATCAGTTACATTCGAAAATTTCGATGACCAAAAAAAAAAAATCCAAAAAAGAAATCTAATTTTTGGCTCTGGACATTTTTTGGAATCTTGACATGCTCATGAACAATTGCTTATATCTTTCATAATATTTGAGAAAATTGCCTACAATTATACATCATTAAAAAGAGTATCAAATTCTCTATAAGCAGTGCAAAATTAGTAACTGTCACTTGTGAAGTCGACATTTTGCCCAAAACTTTAATAACAATTAATAGCTATTTATGATTTTTTATAAAAACCAATAGGATGGATACCCTAAAGTAAGGATGTTTGGGTAGTTTCAAGCTCGGTTTCAAATTCACTAATCTAATAAAATGCATAAATCTATCAAATTAGGTACATTTGAATGTGCTAATCATTCCAAAATTACATTAGTCATTTAACTACCAAAAAGCTTGGCATAATTTTTCAATTACTAATACTATGCGTTCATTTCTGCTTCCTGCTGATAAGAATATGCCTGATATGCTATGTTTGATATCAACCACTAGCAACTTGGATAAGAATATGACTAGTGTATATTTTCCTCGATATTTTCATTTACTGTTTCTCTAAGGTTAATTATAAACTAGAAATCAATAACGAATATTTGTTTGGGCGTTTTATCAGTAATAAAGGGTCAATCCCAAATTTTAAAGGTTATCAGCGTGGTTTAGAGGTTCATTTATTTCAATACAATGTTGCTTTTATGATAGTAGGTATATAATTAATAATTAAAATGAACAGCTGGTCTAGTTCAAGATATTTGTTTAAAAAAAGTATATAATGCCACTATAGGACTCTACTGTTAGAAGTAATTCAAGTAGTTTCAAAAGTAAAAACTTGATATCAAAATGAAACAATATAGATATAATTTTCATTGATGTTTAATTTGCCAAAAGCGATTCAATTACCCTCTTAATAAAAAGAGTTGTCTGATTTTTCTATCTTGAAATGTTGTCTTAGATAATATGATACAGGACGAGGAAGAACTCGATTATGAGATCGAAGTCGAAGATGAAGATCGGCTCCTGGAATCAAGTGATCAAGAATCGGAGAAATGCAGTTCCGATGAGGATAGGTAAGTTACCTAATTGTTGATATCAAATTTACCATTCTATAACTTAATTTTTTTTAGTGCTCCAAGAACCACTTGCCAAACGCCCTCTAATAATGATAGGTAAACCATAATGCCAGTTTTGAGTTAGTAATGTTGAATAATTATGTAAATGATGACATGAATTTTGAAAATTTCCTTGTTTCATTTCCCATCCTCATATTTCTCATCAATCAATCCCATAGAGTACATAATCAACCAACAAATTTTAACTAAAACCATATTTTTTTTTTCTAGAAGTTATGGCTATAATACTTGTAATGTTTTAGAAAAAAAATTAATTATCTGAGATGCTATAGAACATATGCAAATTCTTCCAGAAGGAATTATAGATATTCTGAACGAAATACTAACTGTTCGACTATCACAGATGGCTCATATGAGGAAGATGAAGTGAATGAATCCAATAATTGTCTCACATCCATAGATTCTGGAGGTTTGTCATTTTTTTAATCTTATTTATTAATAATAATAATAATAATAAGACGTTTATTAACCATTTCAGCTTTTTACAATAATTATATGCTATGCTAAACAAATAAATCTGTGGTTAAAGGGCCGCAATATACATTTGTTAATAATAATAGTTGCTCTAAGTATTAATATTTAATAATAAGTACTAATATACATATATCTCGAACAAACTACAGCATATTTTAACTCACTGCCAGTTAAATCTTCACGTTTGATGATTGCATTTAACCAAAGTTGTCTTCTAATTGGTTTGTTCAATTTTATCAGGATGTTTTCGATTCAGTTCCGATGGTATTTTATAAATTCAACGTTGTCGCGTTCTCCCCTTCTACTAAATTTCACTACACAACAAAATGCAGGCATTTTACCAATATTTTCGCGCACTTTAACATAAACTTTTGACAAACGCCATTTTTGACAGATCGTTAGAATGCCTTTTTAATATTTTGACGCTATTTTTCAGTTTTGTTATATAAGGGTTGTTTATAAGAAAATTGTCTTTAAATTCCTCAAAAAATTATTATGTTTTCTGTTATCTAATTAATCCATTAACCATTATTATTTATTTATTTGACTTACTTTGTGTTAGTTTCAGATCCAGATGTTTCGCAATTTACCTTTGATGAAAACAAGGAAGATAAAGATTATCCTGAGTCTCCAACTAAGCACTTAAATTATAATAATAATAAGAAACCTATGGACTTTTCTTATGAAGATACTGTAATGAATTCTATAAATACAACTGCTACTATATGTAATGAAAAAAATATTAATGAAGATTTCCTGAAAAATAGTCACCCCAATAACATGGCTATCCATTCACCAAAAAGTTCGCAGAAGCAAATAAAGAAAAAAAACATTTTTGGAAATATTACTATACAAATACCTACTAAGCCAAAATCTACCAATTTTACTAGGAACTTAATTTTATCTAATAACACGGTAACAAGTCCTAACCTTTTCCAATCATCGGAAAATGTGCAGACTCCAATTAAAATTACTCCCATTAGTAAAGTAACTACAAATAAACTTCCTGATAGATCGCCATCGAAAAAAGTGCAGGAGCCAATTATATCCAAAAATAAACGTACTTCAACTAGTCAATCGGATGGAAGTGCAAACTCCTATGTGGATGCAATGGCTATTCAGTCATCAACAAATGCACAGGAGCCTATTAAGTCCTTAAATAATAGGGAAATTGCTCAAAGTAAAACAGGCATTGCAAAAAAACCTACTACTGAGACTGCTCAATCCTTAGGAAACTTGCAAGGGCCAAGTAAACCTAAGATTATACCAAATAATTTCAAAGTTCAAATTATAGGCCAAGAGAGGAGTTTAGTGCCTCAGCCACAGCTATCAACATTGGATCCACCTCAGTTTTCTCGGCGGATTGCAAAAAAGCCTTTTACCTGGAAACGAACTTTTGAGAAACCCACTATCTTAGTAAACAGCAAAGATATTTCCCGATTTATTGCAAGTTGTACTACAGACGATGATAATAACTGTTTGAAAAGGTAAGAATAATTTTATTGGAAATGTTTATGAAGTTCCCTGTAGCAATCTCCACTTGACTACACCTAAAAAAGTATTAACACATTTTTGAATGTTATCAAAGTTAATTACATACAGTAAATCAAGTTTAACTTGTAACTGGTATTTTGTAATATGCTTTAAGTGATGTTGTTTTTTTGTTGTAGCCCCAATATTTTCAAAATTCCATTGAAGAAGCCACCTTTCAAGCCAGAATGGCAGACTGTTTCTGCCCCTGTAGAGATTCCAGATTCTAAGGACGACGATATGTTCGATCTCACAAGATTTTTCATGAAGTAAATATGATTAAATTTCCTTTTTAATTTTCTGCGTTTTTTTATACATATAAATAATTGTGTTTTCGTCTCTAAGATCGAGTATTGCAAGTGACGGGGATGATATAGCGGATCCTTCATTTCTGGATAATGATGGTATGTCCTTCTATGAAGATGACCCAGAAAAATTGGAGATGGTAAACGAATGGGTCAGTAAACAACCGGTACATTTTTGAACGTTTAAAAAACAATACATTTTTAAATAAAAAAAATTGTAGAGCCGGATAATTCCTTCAGTCTATAGAGGCCTGTGCTACAAAACTTTTTTCAATACTAGAAGATGTATTAAATGTCGAAACCAGCATAATTTGAGGGTTCATTTTGCCAACAAAAGTAATCTAACTAAGCAGGAAATACAAGTTGGACTTAGTTTTGCTATTGAATATCCGTCATTCTATGAACAGGTTTTACCAATTTTTGCTGAGATTTTTAGCAGTGAAGGTAAGAATAGACCATCATTTGAATTTAATTTATTTTTTCTTAGGTTCTATTTCAAATTTTTACATTATACTTATTTTAGATGATAAAGAGGGGCTTGTATACATGATCCATCAAATTTTCAAAAATAATCCTCCCATCAACCAAGTCAACGCCTTAAATACAGTATTAATCAATCTACAACAAACTGATTTGGAGACTCTCCAAGAGAGTATCCAATATGTTCTGATTCAAGTTGGTTTCAGAAGCTATATTTCATTTGGTTAGTATAATATTTTCTCAAAATGTTCGCTAGTTTACTAAAAAGTTATCCTTCTACTAGGTGAGGCTCTGGTTGAAGTAATTATTTCCTCAGATAATGTACCAAGTTGCTGGCCAATTATACGCATAATGATTACCGGCGGACTGACATTGCCTGGAAAGTTGGCCTCAAATTTCTTGACAAAACTGATTAAACCACCTATCGACTCAAAACTTTGTCGTGAGGTGTACACCCTTATTTTAAAATACAAATTTGTAGATATAACATCAATTAATAGTGAATTACGTGATCAGTTCTTTCTATTAGCAAAACCTCAAAATAGAGTGTAAGTATAACTACTTGTTTTTTTATATTGAGAATATTTTTTGTTGTTTTAAGGCATTGTGAAGAGAACCGTAGAAATAACGTTCCATCGACATCTTATCCTTCAGCATTCCCACAACAAGTGCATTTTAACGGACCTTCTTATAATTCTGCACCGCACATTCAAAACTCAAGTGCGACGCCGGAAAAGATGTTGGGCAGCAATTCGAATGAGAATATTGATTTTGGTACGCTTTGGGGAACAAAAAGATTGAGTTTTAAAGATCCCTATATTAATGAGGATGAAGTATTTGAACAATTTGGTCATGATTACAGGGATCCCTCCAAAATACCAAATCAATCTAAGAGCAGAATGAATGAACGGCCATCAAATTTCTACAGGTAACGTTGCTTTAAGTGTTTTTATTATCTAATTTGTCAGTGCTTCAGAATTTAAATTTTTTCTTGTGCAGGCGAGTTACGACCAAGCTGTCGTGCTCCAAAAAAAAGTTCTCGTCTTGATGGGCTATTTTTAGGTGTAGGAAATTCACGTATGGCTTTCACTCGGTTTGAGTCAATCAAAATTCCATTTTCCGATATCACATGGCCCAAGTATTTTACAGTTCTTGCAGCTATGTGACATTTTCCTTTGTTCAGGGTGATACCTTCCTTATGAAGCTTAGTCAAAACTTTATTTAAAATTTCATCATGCCTTTCCAGAGTGCTCGCATGAATCAAGATATCATCCATATGTGTTACACATCCTTCAATACCTGCTAAAATTTTAACAAAATTCATTGTGGAATACTCAGGCGCACACGGGATTCCAAAAGGGAGCCTTTAAAAAAAAACGGACATGTGGCGTTATAAAAGTTGTTAACAATTGGTTCTCCTTACTTAATTTAATTTGGTAAAATCCGCTGGTTGCATCGAGGTTTGTAATAAAATTTTCAATCTACATAAAAGCTCTTGGATAACTTTTCCAAATTTTCCTTACAATAGGGACCCTTTTCTGTCATACACTTTTTAGTTTCTGTCAGACTGAGCAATTTGGGGTGATTTATCAATTTTTCAATTTTTCTGACTGCCTTTATTCATAGATTTCGGCTTCAAATCTGGGAATAACTTGGTGTATGGAGTTCGGGGAATCCCAAGTGATCATTAGGACACAAAATCTCAACAACAAAAAAATTTGAAATTTCATCGTTTCAGTAAGAAAGTAGCTACTTTATGATTCAGATTTTGGAAAAATTTGAAAGGTCATAACTTTTTTTCTATTATAGATAAAAAGCTGAAATTTTCAGCGATTCTTATTCCAGTAGAGGACTTCAATTCCTGAAAATTTTAACTCATTTGGACTTATAGTTCCTGAGATAAAATCGTGTTAAGCAATTTGGGGTGATTTATCAATTTTTCAATTTTTCTGAGTGCCTTGTTTAATAGATTTTGGCTCCAAATCTGGGAATAACTTGGTGTATAGAGACCTTATGATTTAAATTTTAGAAAACTTTGAAAGGTCATAACTTTTTTTCTATTATAAATAGAAAGCTGAAATTTTCAGCGATTCTTATTCCAGTAGAGGACTTCAATTCCTGAAAATTTTAACTCATTTGGACTTATAGTTCCTGAGATAAAATCGTGTTAAGCAATTTGGGGTGATTTATCAATTTTTCAATTTTTCTGAGTGCCTTTTTTCATAGATTTCGGCTTCAAATCTGGAAATAACTTGGTGTATGCAGTTTGGGGGATATCAAATGACCATTAGGACACAAAATCTCAACAAAAAAAAATTTGAAATTTCATCGTTTTAGTAAGAAGGTGATTTAGATTTTGGAAAACTTTGAAAGGTCATAACTTTTTTTCTATTATAGATAGAAAGCTGACATTTTCAGCGATTCTTATTCCAGTAGAGGCTTTCAATCCCTGAAAATTTCAACTCATTTGGACTTACAGTTCCTGAGATAAAATCGTGTTAAGCAATTTGGGGTGATTTATCAAATTTTCAATTTTTCTGAGTGCCTTTTTTCATAGATTTCGGCTTCAAATCTGGAAATAACTTGGTGTATGGAGTTCGGGGGATATCAAATGACCATTAGGATACAAAATCTCAACAAAAAAAAACTTGAAATTCCATCGTTTTAGTAAGAAGATAGCTACCTTATGATTTAAATTTTGGAAAACTTTGAAAGGTCATAACTTTTTTTCTATTATAAATAGAAAGCTGAAATTTTCAGCAATTCTTATTCCAGTAGAGGACTTCAATTCCTGAAAATTTTAACTCATTTGGACTTATAGTTCCTGAGATAAAATCGTGTTGAGCAATTTGGGGTGATTTATCAATTTTTCAATTTTTCTTTTGACAGATGGATTGGATTGCCTAATTACTGTCCTGGGCGTTAACCGAAATTGGCTGACAAATCATTCGTCATACTAATACTCCTCCAAATAATCAATTCTAGGCCTAAATATTCTAGGTTTTCTTGTTTCTCCATCGCTGCTATACGCATTTATGTCGTAATTATCCATATTCGGATTATTTTCATTAAAAAAAAACTAAAGTTTTCCAACTGTCTAAATTTACTTCATGAAAACTTATCTAACTCACAAATTCAACAGAATTCCCGCTTTGTGTCGCTTGACCAATAGTTAACTCATGTCCAAGCCTAGGTTAATTTGACTGTAGGTTAACTATAGGTTCTTGAGGTAACCGTTGATTATAAAACATCATCAACTAGTAGCTACAGGATAACCTATAAGTAACCAAATATTGTGAAACTGGCCCTAAAAGTGTCCATCCTAACAATGTTTCCATGGCCACTAACCCACACTTCAAAATATGTCTTCATCCAGTATAGAGTTTGGAGTTTGCCAGCAACGTCCGATCCAATCAAAATTTCTATAGTGGTAGCATCGTAAAAATTACTAAGCTGAATGCCTAACTTTTTCAATTCTCCCATCCAAGGGCCTTCAAACACAGGTGAAACGTCGAAGCAAATAACAGGCTGTGACAAGGCTTCAAAAGTACAGCCATAACTTAATTTAACATCATAAAAATCATATTTCAACTGTATAGTTGCTCCTTCAAACAATCAATGATTAACTGTGTTTTGACGCCCAACAATTCTGTTGTACTTTTCAAAATATAAGTATTTTGAGAACCTGTATCCACTAGTGCTCGTACGCTCCTGAACCCAAACACTTCTCTAATGGTAGCCCGTAAAGTTTGGAGAAACACATGGCTAGAAGTCCCATCAGTACAAGTTAACATTTCTACTGAATCCACATTAGATTTTTTGACATCTGGGCGATCATCAACTGACTTGTCTCCTGGCAAATTAGAACACATTAAAGTTAGATGGGATTTGCCACAAACAATACATTTCTAATGGGCCCGACATTTCCAGCTCTGGTGTCCAATCTTCAAACACCAAAAACGCCTTTTTTGAAGTAACAATTTAATTATTTTTTTCTAGTGAAAAATGTTGTGCTTTGAAACAACTGTGACTATCATGATCGTTCTCACAGTAGAAGTGGGAACTTTCTGCTCAGAGAAATTGCTACTTTCTTTCTTGCTCCCACCATTCCATAAGCACCAGCGATATTAGCATTGGTGTGTTTATTATCAGTCTGAGGTGTCAATAACTAAACAAATCATGCACAGCCTTCCTACATTTGAGTAATAGAGAACTAGTTTTTATCATTAAATAACAGATTACAATATGTTATAGCAATTTTTTTAATGAAGTTGAAATTTCTAGAGCTTCTAGTACGGGTGACGACTCGTTACCCTCCAGAGAGAATCTGCCCACAAAAACATCTGGAAATACATTCCCTAACCGTTCTGGTTTCGCTTACAATCCGGAAGGTGTCCAGTACGATCCTATGAAGGATTATGATTATAGTCAAAGTAAATCCAAACCTACGCATCAACAACCGCAATCACGGGATTCAGAATATGATAGATTGTTGAACAATAATCCTGAGCATGCACATACAACCCAAAGAAAGTATAAACAACCGCAAACACAGGATAGATTGTTGAACAATAACTCTGAGCCTGCACATAAAACCAAAAGAAAGCATCAACAGCCGCAACCACAGGATACGGAATTTGATAGATTGTTGAACAATAATTCTGAGCCGCCACGAAAGAAGTTTCAACTAAATTCCGGACGTGTAGTTTCTGGTCCCCAGATTGATGATACTTTTGATGAGAGCTTCACAGGAATACCTGCAGCTAGACCTAGACAAGAGCTTCAATATTCTAAGGTTTGTCTGGGGACTAGTTTTTTCTTTTCTAGAACTGTTACCATTCATTCCTTTTTTTAGCCTCCCGATGAACCAGTATTTGGCAAACTATGCTTGAACCCTGATTACACACACAATACCAGCCTGCACAATCTTTACGTCGAAAGTTTGGGTGGACTAGACATGAATCTAGATGATCTCGCTTTGTTGGATGAGATTTTTGTGATGGGGAAAGGGCACGACTTTTTGAAACTCATCGAAAAATATAAAGGTTCCAAAAATGTGAGGTATTTCATCACGGGTGCCCTGGCCCACCTAAAGTGTTGTAATCAAACAATGGTAAAAGTTTGGAAGAGGATACTGGATGGAATGTGTAAGGTAGTATGATATTTTTAAGAAAAAAATTTCCATGGTATTTATTTTAGCTCGTGCCATGCCAAATTTTTACGGTTCCAGCCAAATCAGAGCTATTATTGAGGTGATTACTATGAATATACTTTTTATGCAAGTAACATGTAAATTGTGGTCTGAAGCTAAGGATCTCTTGATGATATTTACTGACTGGGATAGCTTGGTAACATCTAGGGTAGGTGTAAGTTTTATATATATTTTTTTGGGATACGTAGTTGATAAAATGTTATATTAGATTTATTTTTAAGCAAGAATCTCTTCCGTTATACCCACAAAAAAAAAACTGTTTAATGGCTCCTTATTCAAGGAGTCAGAAGCTTCTTCTGTAGAGGAGCTTTTCTAGTTTCCAGGAGGACAAAGTCATATTTGTCAAATGATTAATTGTGAATGCACATTGCTTTTTACATTTTTCATTGGTATTTTGAAGTCCCGATGCCACCGTGCTCATTTAGAAATTCTCTCCAACTTGGTAGACAATGGGAAAAAAAAAGCGACGTACGGTATAATCATAAGCGCAACTAGGCTCCAAATTTGAGGGGTGGTTTTTTATGTCTGAAATTTCAAACAAACATATAGTTCGTTACACGGCACGAAGGTTTTCACTTATGTCATCGATGACGTCATAACTTACAGAATAAGTTAAGTCATAGATTAATTCATAGAGCACCTTCGGAATTATTGTTTTGTAATACATTTTTTAACTTAGAATAGAGTTTATTCAGTTATCCAGAAATATACAGGGTGTCCCACGGTGGATGGCGTATTAGACGTTTATGGAGAACTAAAAAGCAGATCATTCTGAAAATTTCGCAACCGGGATAAACAACCATGATCTACACTTTAAAAATATTTTTGTTTATGCGGTGTTGCCGCTTCTACTCTAAACTAGTGGCAACATCGCTATTTTAAATGGAACACTCTGTATATGATTGCATATTTGGATTCTACGTAAAATTCTGAGCAGATTTCATGTGATATACCCTATACCTCAGTTCATCTGTTTTGGAAATATTGACAGTTGAAAATTGACTTTTTGCAACTTTGACAGGCTGTAAAACCTGAACGGTTAATTTTAAAGGAAAACCGATTTTACATTCCTATCTTAGATTTTTATAAACTATCATTTGACACCAACTTTGAATTAAATCCATGATTAAAAATTCCAGTTAAATTTAATCTCCGGTTAAGTTCAAAGTTGGTGTCAAATGATAGTTTATGAAAATCTAAGATAGGATTGTGAAATCGGTTTTCCTCTAAAGTTAACCGTTTAGGTTTCACAGCCTGTCAAAGTTGCAAAAAGTCAATTTTCAACTGTCAATATTTCCAAAACAGTTGAACTTAGGTATAGGGTATATCACATAAAATCTGCTCAGAATTTAACGTAGAATCCAAATATGCAATCACATACAGGGCGTTCCATTTGAAATAGCGATGTTGCCACTAGTTTAGAGTAGAAGCGGCAACACTGCATAAACAAAAATATTTTTAAAGTGTAGATCATGGTCATTTATCTCGGTTGACAAATTTTCAAAATGATCCGCTTTTTAGTTCTCCATAAACGTCTAATACGCCATCCACCATGGGACACCCTGTATAAATAAATTTCTCCTGGACGGCGATTCTCGAATCGTGTGATCCCTGTTCTCATAGGAAAAGTACGCTAGGTTTCTATTAAAATCTATTACGACGTATTCTCGAAATTAGGGACCGTTCACTTCCTATGAAAGTTGAGAGAATTTTATTCTACTACTTTTTTTTGAAGAGAACGTCTGTTCTCGGGAGAACCAAACGTCAAACATGCGCTTTATTTTGTCAATTGTGCTGTCATCATCCATGGTATTTTTTTGTTTCTTTTGCAAATCATTTATTTATTATCAGTAATAGCCAAATGGGTGCATTTGGATATTGTGTTCAAGTGGAAAAAACTGGCCAATACGAAAACGTGGGAAACCATGAAAGCTGGGGTTATAGGAAGAATTCTTGTAAACTCTGTCTAACCAAAGTTGAACGTTGAAGGTCACTTACTCATCTTTGTAACCATAGGATTCACACGTTCGGACCTTTTTTGGTTTGATAAACACAGTGCGCGTGCAATAAAGACAGCAGCAAGAATCATGTCTGTGATATATTCGAGTAAGTGACCTTCAACGTTCAACTTTGGTTAGACAGACTTTACTGAATGATCTACTAGATGCAGAAGAAGAAGAAAGGCATATAAGGAGATTTTACAGAAGAGAAAATCCCTTTGATTTAACGGATAATAAATTTGTAAAACTCTTTTGATTAGGCAAAGATCTTTTTCGAAATTTAATTGAGTTAACGACACCTTTTATACGGGCTTCAACTAGAACTTTATCATTAAAAACTGTGGTAAAATCGGAGGTAAATTTTCCACTTTGAAGTTTCTCATTCTGCCTTTAACAAATTCAATGAGCATTTCTTTTGGAGTATGATTTATAGGTAAACATCTTGATTTTTCCAAATGCATTTTCCACATAAACCAAACAACACGAAAATAAAAATTGTAGGTAAATAGGTTTTTGACGTGTTGGAACAGACCTATTCCAACACGTCAAAAACCGTCCCATGAACGGTTCCGAAACCACATATTATGCAAATTGCTTGCGTTTATCATCGCCACTTTGTTGAGGGAAGAATAAGCCTAGAAATTTCTGGGCTTAGTTAAACTTATCTTAATGAGACTAGGTTAGACTGGTGGAAACAAAATTATAATATAAGCGGCACTTAACGTTAAGTAAACTTAAATTTGCGTTGGTGGAAACGGCCATCAGTGAACGAATTTTGGTTTCCACGCACAAATTTTACGCTTTGCGCAGAATCGTGACGGTGCATTGTACGGTTTCTTGCTTTGTTGGAATATACCTGATTAATGATTTAATTTTCAGTAAATCAATAAGCAAAGAATGAGGTTCCGTCCCAAAACACAAATAAAACAAACTGATTTTCTTCTTTCTCGTGTCATTCGTCCTTTTAACGCACTAAAATTGTGGCTAATTCTACATATTACTGTTGGCAACAACGCATTATGATTTGACAAGTTTTCTCTCATTCTATCATATTCCCATACTTTCGAGAATACCAACTTTGGCACCAAGAGAACGAGTGTGCGATGTGATATCTCACTTCTCTTAGGGGAACGTTCACTTCTACCAAATTCGAGAATCGACTACCTGGAGTGATTTTTCACTGGAAAATTTTAAAATTTTCCTCCAATGAGCTAACTAACCCAAACTTGAATAAAACCTTGAGAACAATTTTGCCTACACAATTTTTTCTCGAGTGGTATTCGTCATGACTATTTCACCTAAGATTTTGAAAATAAATAGATTGCAAAATTATGAATAAAAACTTCAAATTAAAAATACCAGTTTGACAATGTCAAAAGATGGTCGCTGAAATACCATGTTGTTGGTATTGTCCAGGTAGCATTATTGTCAGGTGAATTCCGAATTTATTGCTGGTGTAATACACTCTAGTGAAATAGTCACTGGAAAATTTTGAATTTTTTTTATAATGAGCTCCTCACTTTTTTTTTTGGAAAAATTTCACAATTTTTGCTTTGTCAGTTTTCTAGAAAAAAATTGAAATGTGAAAGAATGAATTTTGCTTAAAAAAGTCAATTTTTCCTCTTGACTTTCCTTGGAGTGATTTTTCACCAGAAAATTTTGAAATTTTCCTATAATATGCTCCTCATTTTCTTCTTTCTCCTGAAATTTCACAAGTTTTGCTTTATCAATTTTTTAATTAATAAATTTAATTAATAATAGTTTAATTTAATTTTCCTTAATTTTACTTGAAAAAGTCAATTTTCCAGAATTTCCCCTGGAGTGATTTCTCACTGGAAAATTTCGAAATTTCTCTATAATAAGCTCCTCACTTTCCTCTTTTTCTTGGAAAATTTTCAAAATTTTCCTTCTGCCAGTTTTCCAGGAAAAAATTTAAATGTAAGAGGATGAATTTTCCTTAATTTTGCTTAAATAAGTCAATTTTCCAGAATTTTTCCTCGAGTGATTTTTCACTGGAAAATTTTGAAAATTTGCTATAATGAACTCTTCAATCTCCTCTTTTTTCTGAAAAATTTTCACAATTTTCCTTTTGCCAGTTTTCTAGAAAGAAACTAAAAAGTAAGGAAAGGAATTTTGCTTAAAAAAGTCAATTTTCCAGAATTTTTCCTAGAATGATTTTTCACTGGAAAATTTTGAAATTTTCCTATAATAAGCTCCTCACTTTCGTCTTTCTTAGGGTTTCCATAAAGGTTTTTCGGAATTCAGGACAAAAAGGAGTCAAGAAATCCGGACAAAATCCGGACTTTGCCGAAATAGTTATTGAGAGTGTGTAAAGTGAAAGGCGAGTGTGACAAAATTCACATTTGTGAAAGGTTCACTTTACACACGTATTGCATAATATACAAATAACTTTTTCTACTACCGTGCGTAAAGTACTCACTTTACGCACCATTCAGAAGACGTAAAATTTCACTTCACGCTCTAATGCGTAAAGTAATTCCCTTCACACACTGGTGCGTAAAGTAATGTCAATGACAGATGTTGACACTGTCAATTTAGTATTTTTCTGGTAAAGTACTTCACGCACTAGTGCGTAAAGTGAAAATACGTCACGCACTAGTTCGTAAAGTATTTGTCTAAATCTATGTTTTCACACATATCTGATAGGTAGTAGAAAAATTTTTGTATGCAATACGTGCGTAAAGCACCTTTTTTCACTCATGTGATTGTCGCACTCGCCTTGAGTCAAAATTCACATTCGTGAAAAAAGGTTCACTTTACACACTTGTTGCATAAATAACTATTAGATAGATTAGATAGATAGATAGATTTCTTTATTCGATCAATATGTTTACAATTACAATTACAAATTGGTAGAGAACATTTTACCCAGAGGGTGTTGATCATGTCATTATTTACAATACACAATAAAAAAGAAATTGTACTTAAATCTTAAAAAACATTTAGTACAAAAAAAAATAAACACATACATCTAAGATAAAAAAAAAAACATTTAAGTAAAAAAACAAACAAGTACACCTCACGAACAAATAATTAGAGTCTGGTCATTCCGACCACTTTCAGGGTCAGCACAGGGAGTGCTATGTTTATCTAGGCAATTAGTAAAATTTTATGCTTTGCTAGAAAGAAAACAATTTAAAAAAAAAATCTAACTCAAATCTTTCACTTCTTGATCAGTAAAAAAATCGTTCAGACTGTAATAGGCTTTTGAGCTCAGAAATGTTTTAATTTTGCAGTTGATAACTCTTGATGGTAGCATACGGAGTGAGGGAGGCAAAACATTCCAGACTTTGAGAATGTTGTGTTTAACATTTTTAAGAATGTATGTAAAGTGAGCAGTTTCAGTTCTAAGATTGTCTTTGAATCTAGTACCATGACAATGATTAGATTTTAGTTTGTCAAAGATATCTGGATTTTCTGATATAAATTTGATACTCTCTGTAATGTACAAGTTAAAAATTGTCGGAAAGTTATTATCAACAAAGAGATTTTTACAGCTGTCTGTATTTTTTTTCTGGAATATTGTTCTCAGGCATCTTTTCTGAAGAATATTAGACAAATACTTTACGCACTAATGCGTGAAGTAAAGTAATTTACTAGAAAAAAATTACAGTGTCGACATCTGTCATTGACCTTACTTCACGCACTAGTAGGCAGTTTTGCGCGAGGATAACATTGGAGGATAATCAAGCATAATCTGATTATGCTGGGTTATGTGATGTGTCAACTGTGTCATACTCCCCTAACTCCCTCTCCCTTCAATTCTGGGCCTGCGAGTGACGTCACTACCAGCAGTTTATAGTGATGACGTCACCCGCAGACCACGATGGAATGCTTGCGATTCAGGCTGTGCTAGTGAGTTAACGTTTTCGTCGATTTCAAATGTAGAAAGTTTTCGGTCTGTTCTCACAGAAGAAGTTAAGAGCCGGATTTATAGTCGCTGCTTGAAGTTTCCTCAGGCCTGAAGGAGGCTTTGAACGTTTAGAATTAAGATGACTAACCTGTCAAATAGTAGCAAGTGTCCATTCTAGACTCACGACCTTCAAGGAAGACCCAAGAAACGACTATAAATTCGGCCCTAAGTGTTCTTGATCCTCGAGTATCCCAGAATTTTTATGATGGGTGAGTTAGGGGAGTATGACACAATTGACATATCACATAATCTAGCATACTCGAGAATGCTTGGTTATCCTCGCGGAAAATTGCCTAGTGACCCTAGTGTGTAAAGTGACTTACTTCACGTTCTAATGCGAGAAGTAAAATTCTACGTCTTTTGGATACTGCGTAAACTGAGTATGAGTTTTTTCACGATCTCTGAGTTTTCCGGACATTGTTCCGAATTCCGGCCGGAATTCGGAACGAATTCCGGCCGGACTTCCCCGGACACCCTAAAAACCCAAACATGTCCGGGTAAATCCGGACGTATGGAAACCCTAGTCTTTCTCCTGGAAAAATTTCACAATTTTTACTTTGCCAGTTTTCCAGAAAAAAATTGAAATGTGAAAGACTGAATTTCCCTTAATTTTACTTGAAAAAGTCAATTTTCCAGAATTTTTCCCGGAGTGATTTTTCACTTGAAATTTTTGAAATTTTCCCATGATGAGCTCCCCACTTTTCTCTTTTTCCTGGAAATTTTTCAAAATTTTTCCTTTGCTAGTTTTCCAGAAAAAAATTAAAATGTAAGGGGGCGAATTTTCCTTAATTTTGCTTAAGTAAGTCAATTTTCCAAAATTTTTCCTGCAGTGATTTTTCATTGGAAAATTTTGAAATTATGCAATAATGAGCTCCCTATTTTCTTCTTTCTCTTGGAAAAATTTCACAATCTTTCCTTTCCAGTTTTCCAGAAAAAAATTGAAATGTGAGAGGATGAATTTTCCTTGAAAAAGTCAATATTTCAGAACTTTTTTTGGAGTGACTTTCTACTGGAAAATTTTAAAATTTTGCTATAATAAACTCTCTACTTTCTTCTTTTCTCTGGAAAATTTTCGAATTTTTTTTTTGTCAGTTTTCCAAAAAAAAATTGAAATGTGAGAGGATGAATTTTCCTTAATTTTACTTGAAAAAGTCATTTTTCCAGAATTTTTCCTGGAGTGATTTCTCACTGGAAAATTTCGAAATTTCCCTATAATGAGCTTCTCACTTTCCTCTTTTTCCTGGAAAATTTTCCCTCTGTCAGTTTTCCTGAAAAAAATTAAAATGTATGAGGTGAATTTTTCTTAATTTTGCTTGAAAAAGTCAATTTTCCAGAATTTTTTAGTGAGTGATTTTCATTGGAAAATTTGAAAATTTTGCTATAATGAGCTCTTTACTTTCCTCTTTTTTCTGGAAAATTTTCACAATTTTCCTTTTGCCAGTTTTCCAGAAAAAAATTAAAATGTACGAGGTGAATTTTGTCTAAGAAAGTCAATTTCCCAGAATTTTTCCTGGAGTGATTTTCCACTGGAAAATTTTGACATTTTTCCTATAATTAGCTCCTCACTTTCATCTTTCTCTTGGAAAAATTGCACAATTTTTACTTTTCCAGTTAAAAATTGAAATGTGAGAGGATGAATTTTCCTTACTTTCACTTGAAAAAGTCAATATTCCAGAATTTTTCCTGGTGTGATTTTTCACTGGAAAATCTTGAAATTTTCTTATAAAGAGCTCTCCACTTTCATCTTTTTCCTAAGAAATATTCGAAATTTTCCCTTTGCCAGTTGTGAAAAAAATTAAAATGTAAGAGGATTTTGCTTAAAAAAGTTAGTTTTTCAAAATTTTTCCTGGAGTGATTTTTCACTGCAAAATGTTGAAATTTTCGTAAAATGAGCTGCTCATTTTTTATTTATTCCTGGAAAATTTTCAAAATTTTCCCTTTGCCAGTTTTCCAGAAAAAAATTGAAACGTAAGAGGGTGATTTTTTTTTTGATTTTGCTCAAATCAGTCAATTTTCTAGAACATATTTGAGATTTCATTCTTAAAAAAAAAACAAAGAATCACCTTTTGTCGTTTGTACATGATATTTAGGAACACCTTGTATAATACGCAGTTAATTAATTTATATATTTGGGACTCCAATGATTCTTTTAGGGCCGGTATTTCAATGTCACCTTGAGATATAGAATAAACATAGACATTGACAACATTGTCTTACCTTGTTCGATGACGTGATCCTAAATATAACATAAAAATCCTATATTTTAGGGTAAGTCTTGATTTTGAGGTAATATTGTAATACCGGCCCCGGTTGAAAAATTTTATTCCATAACAATAATAATTGCGACCGTGCTCTATGAATTAATCAATGATAAATACTTTTTTCTAAATTATGACGTCATCGATGACACCAAATTCGGGCATCAGAAGCCAAAGCTGAAAGGCAGGTGGCAACAAAGGTATTAGATCCTAGATTTGATATCCGAACGAATGTCAGTTACTCCCTTGGCTGATTATAAACTTCTGCTTCAGTTTACAAACTTCAGCCTTTTTTGCTACTTATCAGCCTTGTCACTTTGAACCATTTGTAGTCAATAATAATTGATAAAACACTTCGCTGTCCACTTAATAATCTTAAAATTTTGTGTTTGTAGTTGACCTTGATGAATCCCCAAACCAAATTATCTATTCTTGGCAAATATCTGTTTATAGCAAAATTGCTTCAGTTTACCGAACCGAAGTATTCCTATAAGATATTGACCTGTCCTGGTAAGTTTCAGATATTTAAATAATTTTTTTATAAATCACGAAAATTCTAGAGTTAAAATTAATGGAGCATGAGAGCACGTGGCCATACTGTGAAGACCAATGCACAACAAGGGAGCTGAGAAATAGAAATTTTCTCCTGAATACATTCCTACAAGAAACGTATCTTCAGGATATTGAAGTAGTTATTGATATTTATAAAGTAGCTTTTTCAAGAAACGGTGGCATTTCGAACTTCAGTATGTTTTATTTTGGTATTTGGTAAACTTAGACTGATATATTATTTTATATTTTAGATGTGATACCATATATAAATCCTATGCTAGAGAGATTGATAGCGGAAAAAAATATTTCAGCCTTAGAGCATATTAATAAATCAAATGTGTTTTTCGAATATATGGATATAAATATTTTAAAACAATTTCTACTTCTTATGTTTTCACACTTGCCTATGAAAGATGGATGTAAGATTTTTGACATATGCACTAGTCGCTCCATTTACAAACGGATTTGCATAAATGATGTATGTATTAAATAGGTATTTATTATAATTGTTATTGTTAAATATTTCAATGATTTTTTAGATCTTACAAGAAAATATACTACTATACACAACTAATACCACTGAAGAAATAGAAATAATTCTAAAATATTGTTTCTATAAGTTGGTCCAAATAAGATATTTGCCTTCGGGTTTCAGATTTTGGATTAAAACTAATAGTAAGTAAACTATTTTAAAAATATTAAAAAAAGTTAATTCATTTTTCCTTAGCAATCTCTGGAACAGATGAAGAAATGGTCAACGATGCTATAACTACGACTAAAAATAAAGTTGTAAATATGCTTGACAAGTTTTTTAAAATACGTGGCAGAACGACTACGGGTCATGATGTGGTAGAAGTAGCTAAAGATGATCTGATATTATTTTTAGAAAGAAGTTGAGTTTATTTCCAACTAAAACGAGAATGTTAAGGCTGATTTCCACTCATTATCATTGAAAACATTTATTTTGCCCTATTATCTCATCATTTTTATGCAGGACTTACTGTATTTAGATGTTATGTATTTCACAGAAACTAGTGGTAAAAGCCTAGAAACTAGTTTCATTTCAATTTTATGCCTTCATTGTAATTATACGGTAAATCATAGGATAAGTCACTGCATGAAATCTTAAAATTTGCATTACAAATCAAGAGAAATCGATGAAGCAAATGTTTGGATAAGTCCATCTACATTTTTAAAATCTCTTGGAACCACCTGAAGACAATCTTCGTACTGCAGTTCTTTGGCTAGTTTCGTTATATGAAAAATATGTACTAGTAAATGGTAAATTGTAACTGCTTAAGGAATTCTTCACAGGGTTGTGTAAAGTGATAGTAACTAGAGATGTGCCCCAAGGGTATCGATATTTGTGACGCACCGGTATTGTTAAGGCTTGTCCAGACAGATCAAGTTAATTTGGCAAGTAGCTAATCGTAGAATTCGTCTTAAAATAAAATACATAAATAAATATTAGTTTCTAAGCTTTTACCACTGTTTTTTTTAAAATGATTTATAGGTTGTTGCGAATCTAATCCTGGGCTAAACCATTTTTCATGTTTCTACAGAAACAAATATATTATGGAGGCTTAATACATACCTAAGTAACCCGTTTTTTCACACAAAAAAACTCTTCTGTTTTCATAAATTATGAAGCAATTGAATTAAGTCGACAAGCCAACAAATTGTTTCTTCTGGTTTTGTTTCAACCCACTAGAAAACCGTGCAATGTTGTATAATTTCCAGCCACCCAAATTTTAATTCGAATTTGCATATAACAATTAATAATTGTGAATTTTATTTGGGTGACTGGAAATTACAGAATCTTGCACACTGTTCCGACAAAGCTATAATAATAATTGATTTATATCATGGTCCAAGAACAGAGCTATTTTAGAAATTGCCTGAGAAGTTAGAGGTAAGTTTTTTTCTGAACTGACTCTGTTAAAATGAAATGGACTTCTCAGATAAAGTGGAATTTTCTGGTTCTTTGGGATCTAGCCTTGTACTTTATGCAATTTCCTGTGTTTGGTTGCTTGTATCAAGTTCCAGTATGTGTCCAAAGGTAGATGATATTCATCTTCAGGCCCATTTCTTCAAATTCTCTTGCCATTTCACTAGTCATCAATTGTACTTATTCAAAACTGTCAATGATTATTTCAGTCGTTTGCCTACCATATTTATGTCATATTTAGATCAGTCTATTGGAATTCTCTTCCAGCTTTAGTAGATTTCATAAAGCTGTCTATATTGCTACCTGATCTTACAATATTCAGGCAATAGTTCACATAACCCCTATAATCAAAACTAACCCTGTGCGCTTCATCAATCATTTAATTTTAGAATCTCTTCATTGAGTTTGTAGCTTATAAGGATTAGAAATCAAACCATTTTTTTTTTATCAAGCTAGCTTTAGCTTTGTGATTAGCCCTGATATACTGTATTGCGTAAATATATATTTTTATACTTTAATACAGTCTGTCTCAAAGTTAAATATACATCCTCAGGTCGAAATTTTAGGGGTAGTAGCCAATTTTATATCTAATTTTGAGACATGCTTTTTTTTAAGTTTCTATTAACTGTTATTGATGCAAGTTGATTTTATAAAAACTAGAAGTTGTGTTTTTTTTTTTTCATAAATTTTTCACTGTATAAACCATTAATTTTTATCGTGTACAAACTTTTTTTTTTGTTTTAACATACAAAATTCATTTTTTATTTAACTATTTTGTTGTTCAAGTCAACTTCTAGAACTTTTTTTTTTATTGGTTAGCTTATAAGGTACATTATTAAATCTTAGGCGTTTGTGTCTAAAAAAAATAAAGTGAGTTTAGTTTTAGAGCTTGTACCTCATTGTTCAAAATGACAAGAGTATACTGCAGACCTACATCTTGAAGAAAATCAGATATTTTTGTTTAAAATATGTATTAGCATTTTTGAAACTCTTGGAATTTTGAACCTCAAGCTCTCAGGCTGTTTATTTTTAAGGGAGAAGTTTTGTTACGTTTACAAAATAATATGTACCTGCTTACATACATATTTCTATTTTGATATGAACAAATTAAATTTTTTTGACTATTTTAAAATTTGTTTTTTTCTCTAGTTCCTTCAGGTTTTAAGACAGCTTTTTGTACCCACGATTTTGTTTTTGTCTCATTTGCAATATTATTTATCAATGATTTGGTTCTTTGTTCAAACATATTGTCACGTCTCTGGGGTGCATGACAGAAATCTTGGGTTCGTTTATTCCAATAATTTATTCCACGTTACTACGTACTCTGACACTCCACTATATCCCTAATCCATTCCTATAAAATCCAGAATAAACGCGATTGTCTCTGCCCGAATAGGGCAGTATTTTCTGGAATTTTAGGCATGGATACTATGTACGCGCACCATAACACTGCCCCCTCTTAAGCTTGATCTTCCAGATCAACTTCACGCTCATGATATTTCGTCAATCTGTCCAGATGTACATTTTTCATCTTACTTCTGGTTTTGCCCTGAACTCGATAAACCAAATCATTAATCCTCTTGATTATTCTCTGTACGGCTCTTCCCTTCTGAAAACAATTTCGGCGACACTCCTTTCTTTCTTATTGAATTATACAGCCACACCCAATCAGCTCACTCTTCATTCGGTCACTGGCCAGCTGGATATGCTCCCGAGCAAAATCATGTATCCCCAGAAGTCGTGACCTTACTTCGTCGGCATAATCTCGAATTTCTTTTTGTTCTTCTTCAGGTATTCCAAACATCAGATCGCAAGATAACAGTTCCCTTCCAAAAACGATTCTAGCTGGACTTTCACCTGTTGACTCGTGAACAGCTGCTCTGTATGCCATTGAAAATAGAGGCAAGTGCTCGATGGTTCTTTGCGACCACTTTTGTCAGGTGTTCCTCTATGGTCTTATTAAATCGTTCTACCATGCCATGTGGATGTGAAGGTATTGTCCTTGTCTTACGATTCTTACGGATGCCCATGATCTCACAAATTTTCTCAAAGATGGCAGATTCGAAGTTTCGACTCTGATCTGTATGCAACTATAGTGGCACACCATGACTACTGAAAACTTCGTCCACTAACACCTGGGCAGTAGTGATGGCTTCTTGATTGGGAATAGCGAAAACTTCTGGCCATTTACTGAAGTAATCCATGATAACCAAGATGTATTTGTTAACACGCTGTGACTCAGGGAACGGTCCAGCAACATCTATCGATACTCATTCAAAACCTTCACTGGTAGCACAGATGTTGCATTTTCTACACCAGTTTTTGACGTCTTCATGATAGTGAACCTAGGAAAAACGTTCCCGAATTTGGGCCAAAGTCTTGTTAAATCCAAAATGTGCCTCTGAAGTATTCCGTCATGTATTTTTTTTAATACATCTGTTACTCGATCTTTTGGAATAACCACGTGGCTCTTAGTAGATTTTCCATCAGCACTTTCCCAAATTCTTCTCAGTGAACCATTTTCTATGGCCAGAGAGTTTCACTGAGCCCACAACGCCTTGTAAATCAAACTCTTGTTCGACACTTCCCTTCCTAGAAAACTCCACAGTTCATGTTTGCTGCGTGGTTTTGGCAAATCCCTGGACAGCATCTATGTTTCCTTCCATAACTTGTATACCATCTTCAGATACCACGTGACCTATAAGAATTCCACTTTCTTTTGAAATAGGAAACACTTATTTGGTATGAGTTTTAAGTTGGCATTCCTGAGGCGGTCAAAAACTTCTTTCAGGTTATTGAGATGTTCTTGGAACGAATTTCCCATGATCATGACATCATCTAAATATACCAGACAAGTTCTCCATGTAAGGCCTCGCAAAACTAGAAGCATCAGTCGCTCAAACGTAGCGGGAGCATTACACAATCCGAAAGGCATTACGTTAAACTGGTATAACCTGCTTCCGGTACTGAAGGCAGTTTTCTCTTTGTTATCTTTATGTTGCCACTTGCCAGTATCCGCTCTTAAGATCCAAGGTGGAAAACCATTTGAAACCCGATAGAGTTAATGTATCGTTTATCCTCGGAAGAGGGAACCTGATGTCCCTAGGGTTGTGCCGTTTGAAATTTTCGAATGAAATTTCCATGTTTGAAATATTCAAATATGTGAAATTTTCAATATTTGAAAAAATTGAAATTTCACAGAAATTGCAGGTGAAATTTTCAATTTGAAATTTCCCAAACTTTGTAGAAAATTTCATTTATTTCACTGGAAATTTCATAAATTTTATCGAAATTTTCAAAAAGTTTACATGTTTCGCCGGGAAATAAAAGGAGTTGTTGGGAATTATGGCAACGCTGCTCACTGGTTGTCTTGCTTTGGATTGTTATAGAATCTTAATTCTTAGCAAATTTCTTAGCTTAGGTTGGAAGCTCTGTTGGAAGCCTAAATTTATGATAAATAAAGTTAAACCAAGAAAACAATATTTGGAGCTACTTCACTCAACTGACTAGGAAATAAATAACAGAAAGGTAGAATGTTTTTTTTTCTACGAGCGTGCGGAAAATGGCTCTTTCCGTACTATTTGCTGAGCGGGCAGCCTTTCTTCTTTTGTGTGTTGTTTTCTTCCCAATACATCTAAAATTTACTTTCTGCACAGTCGCATTTTATTTAAATTACATTTTTCGTAACATCACCTTTAGTACGCTTGTAGAAAAAATATAGTTCCTGAAGCTTGCCGGAAGAAATTTCCGGCACTTGGGCGCTTCGCACAATCGTGCCGGAAATGTCTCCTCCCGCACTTGTTAGGAAAATGGCTATTATTTATTTAGATTCGACAGTTGAGCCAGAATAAAATGTCTGAAGAATGTCCAACCATTGTACCTACTCATTTATTTTTATATGTACCTACCTACCCTACTACCACCGCATAAACACCCACCATACTAAACTAATACCACAGGGGGGCTCTATTTGAAATTGATGCAACTTTGCGTACGCAAATATGACGCAGATGACGTCAGTTGCGATTGAAGAAGTGCATGTCAAATTAGCCGTGCACCAATTATCAATTGCGAATGACGTCATCGAGGACTTCATTTACGTGTACGCAAAGTTGCATCAATTTCAAATAAAGCCCCCCAGCACAAAGTCATGTAGTAATCATGTCACATCATAATTGAATTTTATAGATTATTCCACTCATGTGTTAGAAATCCCATAAGACAAGTGACGATTTTCAGAATTATAGCGAAAATTCTCTTTTCCATTTGTTTAACTAGAGAGAATTACAGCGATAATTCTCCCATGTTATTGTATACATGGTTTTCATGCTAATTTTTGATACAAACAAACGGTTCCTGATAGCAACCATTTATTTGTATTGATTGTTAAGATGTTCAAATCGTTTAATACATATTTATTTCCATATTTTTCGCATTCTCATACGTGAAATAATCCTCTAAATACCACTTGAGCTTAAAAATGAACCAGATAATTTTTCACTCATGCGTGTTTTCTCTGCAAATTTCACTCGTCCTACGGACTCGTGAAATTATAGAAAACACGCAATCGTGAAAAATTATCGGTAATTTTGAAGCTCTCGTGGTATTATCCCCGAAAATTTCATGGAATTTTATGAAATTTCATTGAAAATTTCATAGTGAATCATTTGATTTTGAAAATTTCATGATATTTTGGAAATTTTCAGAAAAATTCGGAAATATGGAAAATTTCATGGAAATTTCAAAAATTTCAATATTTCCATGAAAATTTCAAAGTGAAATTTCCAGATGAAGTGAAAAGTGAAATTTACCCAACCCTAGATGTCCCATTCGAGGACCACAATTTGTCTCTCCAAAGTACTGTAGCAGAACGCGCCCAAGTACTCTCTTTTAATTGGTTAGATGGTAAATGGCGAGTGGTTTTATTGATGGTGTTTATTTCCTTGGGCGGCTACTTATAAAATTGTGGAGTGGGTCTATTCGCAAATGAGAGAAACAAACTATTAAGGTTTACCAAATTATACTTTATTATACTTAAATATTAAAAAAATTAAAACAAATATTTTCCCAAGTCTTTTAGCCACTTCTAGGTTTACCGATTCAATTTACTCCACAACTTTTCAAACTTTATCATCCTACAAGATTTTTTCCTTTATTATTTCGGCCCTGGAATTGTCCATATTATAAAGCCCTATTTCTTTACTCTCAATAACTTGGAATTTATTCATTTATTTCTTCTACACAATACTTTCGTTACATATTCCAAATAAAACTACCATTTCCTTTAACTATAAATTCTTATTAAAACCCCTAAAGTCATTTACTGATAACTTATACAGAACAATTATTTAAATTCATAAACTTACTTACTGAGATTAAATAATACCAACTATGTTTTTATTAAAACCTTACAATAATTCTAATTGATTAACCTTTGATCAAACTTTCAGCATCAACGACAACAATCTTATTTCATGAACAACATTTTTCATTCTTTTATCAAAACTTTCCATTATTTTTAATAATTCAATCTTTTTCCGAAGATTATAACAATAAGACAATTCAATTCAAAATCTTCAATAACTCCATACTCAAAAATCGGCAATCCTTAAGTGCATTCTAATTTCCCCTTTTAAACTTTTACCAAAAATATTTAAATATCATTTCCCTCAAGACAAATACATTTATGCACTTATAAATGTTCCAAACTCAAAATACCTACTCAAGTTAATAATATTTATGCAATAAAGTTCCAAAGTCAAAACACTCGAGTTAATAATATTTATGCAATAAAGTTCCAAAGTCAATTCACTTCATAGTCATTCATCATTGATAAAGTCAAAAATAATACTAGTCACTAGAGTACTTACATTTAAATTTTCACCCGTAAAGTTTCTTAATTAATTTAGTTCAAAATAGCTCGAGCACGCACATAAAACTGAAAGGTTCACTTCTGTCTTACTTCGAGTTAATTACTGAGTTTATACTTTTCCCGAGGCCCGACTTTGTATACTTGAGATAATTCGCAACTTCTGAATAGGTCCTACTAAATTATTGAGTTTAATGGGGTATACATAAAAATCAGAAAAAAAAACTGCTAGACATTATTCTATAGGCTAAATGGTGATGG